AGAGTAAGGGGTGGGGCCGTCCCTGGGGATTGGGCCAGACTCTAGCATGACCTTCAAAGCCCTCCCTTCCCTGTCCAACTGCCTGGGCCTGTCCCCAAGGGCCTCTGCACAGAGGTCACCGCATCCTTGAAGGTACAGCTGGAGGCCTGAGCCCGTGTACACCTGGCCCCTTGGCCTGTGTGCGGTGGCTGTGAGACACTGGCAGCCCCCTGAACCTGGGGACCCTCAGTCCCCCCAGCTGCAATCTCACCCTGACAGATGTCCCTGTCTCCAGTGGGTGAGGATTCAGGGCAGCAGGCTCAGCTGCAGACAAAGCCTCATTTCCTGTGAGGCCCAGGACAGCACAAAGGCTCCTAAACCTGGGAGAAGGTTGTGAATCCAAGGGAAGCCTCCTGGGCAGAGCGACCCTGGCTGAGGTTTCTCTTCAAGGCCTCAGTTTCCCAGTCGGAACAATAGGCATTTAACCTGGGGAGTGGCTGCTGGACCCTGACCCCGGGGTGTTGGGGTGTAGCAGTGGGCCGGACCAGCAGCCTCCAAGGCTCCCTTCCGCCTTCAGCGAGGCCCTAGCGCCCCCTGGTGTCCTGAGCTGAGAATTTCAGCTGCCTGGATTCCTGGGGTTACGCAGGGCCCAGCAATGCCCACAACAGCCTCAGGAGGGACAGGATCGACCCTAACCCCATTTCTTTTCTTTTCTTTTCTTTTTTCTTTTTTTTGGTACTGGGGATCGAACTCGGGTCCTTGCGCTTGCGAAGCAGGCGGCAGAACCACTGAGCTAAATCCCCAGCCCTCTTTTCTTTTTTGAGACAGGGTCTCCCTATGTAGTTCAGGCTGGCCTTGAAGTCACTGTGCAGCCCAGGCTGGTGATCCTCCTGCCTCAGCCTCCCAAGTGCTGGGATTACAGGTGTGCATCATTTCGTAGAGTTGAGCACTCCAGGTGACCTCACACAGCTGCTGTGTGTGGACCAAGATAGGGCGTCCCTCCAGAGTGCCTGGCATCTGGCCTCAGGAGCCGTGGCCTTCTCATCTGGAGGGAGACCAACCAGTCCCATTTCACAGACAGGGAAATAGAGGCCCAGAGCACACTCGACACTTTCTTGAGGCTTTGAACACATACAGAGGTCAAGAAATTCAGTCTTCAGCCTGGATGGGGCCCCCAGAGTGTGGGTGGGGTCTGGCCTTGCTCCCAGTCCACTGGGCTGCCTGGTTAGCCCATATGACCGCCCTCCTGGGTACTTGCAGCCCCAGCGGAGCCCTGAACATGTCTCAGTGTGTGCACATATGTATGGACTTACAGGCATGCACACGTGCACATCCCTGCCTGGGCGTGCTGTGTCATGCACACACCCGTGCCCACGCCTGGGAGCATGCATGTGCTCAGGTGAACGCAGGGGCCGTGTGTGTCTGCGTGCATGTGGAGACAGTGTTGCAGGGGGCACCGTTCTCAGAGCCATCACAAGGCCTGCTGGTGGCCCGAGGAAGGAAGAAGCCACGTCTTTCCTTGGCATTCAAGGCCCAGGCATGCTGGAATTTGCATCCAGTCATTACACAGCCGTGCGCCTTACCCGCCGCTCGAACTCCTCTCCCTGCTGCACCTCTCGGGGGTAGCCATCGATCAGGAAGCCTTTGGAAGAACCCACCTTGGCCACCATGGCGTCTCGGAGCATGTCCAGCACCGTCTCCTATGGGCGGCACAGGGGCAAAGGTCTGAGCCTCCTCACCCGGCCCTGTCGGCCTTTCCCTGTGCCTGTCCCGCTGCACGGACGCCCCCTCGTGTACACACGGGGGGCCCAAGCCTCCCTCTCCCCCAGGGTTTTCCCTGACTGGAGACCTTGGCACCTTCCCTACTCTCGGGAAGCTTATGTTCTGGGGAGGGGACTGGCAGTGACAGCTGGCTAAAGTTTCCCAGGGTGTTGTAGGCTGCAGGGACAGAGGGCCTGCTGCAGTAGGAAGTGAGGGGTCTCACTTAGGGTAGTGGTGTGCTCACCTAGTGCCCATGAAGCCCTGCATTCAAATACTCAGTACCCAAAACAGAAAGAAAAAAAATACATGACATTATATCGCTGGGTGTGGCGGCGCACACCTGTAATCCCAGCACTTGGGAAGCTGAGGCAGGAGGACTGCCATGAGTTCGAGGCCAGGCTGGGCTACATAGTGAGTTCAAGACCAGCCTGAATTACATAGCGAGACCCTGTCTCAAAAAACAAACAAAACAACAGCAAAAATAAATAAAAAAGGAAAAAAGAAATGAGGGAGTCCCAGCACAACGTCAGGGAGGCAGGAGGGCCTGCTGACGGGAGAACAGCTCCAGGCAGGAAGGAATGTGGCTGGTTGGAGGGAAGAGAGGGCAGAACCCCTCGGGGTCATGGGAGCCCTCGCCCCGCTGGCCTGGCAGGCCACTCACCAGCGGCACCAGCTGCCCCTTCTCCATGATTTCCGACAGCTTCTTGCCCCTGGCCGAGGCGGAGCTGACCTCGGCTCGCAGGAGGTCCCCGGTGGAGAGGTGGGTGTAGCCGTACTTCTGCACGATCTTCTCACACTGGGTGCCCTTCCCCGAGCCGGGCCCGCCTGCAAGCGCCCACCCACTCAGAAACCCCAAGGAGGGCACAAGGGCTGCTGGGCTCCGTCGGTGTCCGCTCCACTGCCCGCCCGCCCAGACTCACCCACCACAAAGATGATCTTGGTTTTCTTTAGCTTCTCTGTGGGAGAGAAAGGGGAGCCGGCCTCAGTGGCCTACGACACGCAGGGGCGCTGAGGCTGAGACCCGGGGTCAGAACTCGGCACTGCCAAGGGGCCAGAGCACCAAACCCTGCGGCGGGCGCCCCCCTGTGCGGGCGTCACCTCTGGCCTGCTGGTCCCTCTCTTTTCGAGGGTCCCTAGATGAACAGCAGCCCATGATCCCGTTCGCTGTTTCTCCTACCCTTCCCCTCCCAGGCCCTGTCCTGCCCATTGCCGCCTGCCTTGGCACTACTACTGTGGAGTTGGCAACCACAACACACGCTGCCATGGAGACGGTTACCGGGGAGGACGGCACATGGAACTCCTGCTTGGACAGGGAAGGGAGCTTGTGTTCCAAACTCTGGCCCTTTACCACTCACAGCCCCACTGGGCAGAGGGAAACTGAGGCCCGGAGAGGGAGGGGTCCGCTCATGGGAAGTCAGAAGCAAAACCAGAACCCAGCACTCTCTTCCCGGACTTCCAGGACCTCCCCCTTTGCTGTGGACAGAGGTCCGGGCCACATCCCACCATGCTGTGTGACCTAGGAAACAGGTATCCACCCTCTCTGGTCTGTCCCAGGCCCCAGGAGGAAGTAAGTGGGTGTGGTGACTCGTGGGGCTCCTGGGGCCCCATGAGGCCGGGAGCTTAGAGCAGAAAAATAACTTCTCCTTGGGTGAAGGGCACAAGCCCAGAGCTGAAGGGAGGCCAAGGCCTGTGGCAGCTGACTTTGGAGTTCAAGAGCCCACAGGGTGATTGCTGGCTTCAGACGGCGGCAGTGGCAGGGCCCCTTTAAGATCCACCCAGGCTGAGGCCCAGGGCCAGCGCCTGAACGAAGGTGCTGCCAGAAGCCCAGCCAGCTGCTCCAGGCTCTCCGCCCACCCATGTCTGCCCCTCAGTCCCGGCACGTAGGAGCCAGGAAGGACCAAGACGTCCTTGACGCCCATCCCTCTGTGATAAAAGGGAAACTGAGTCCCGTGGAGGGACAGGAACTTGGCTGCTGTCACCCCTTCAGACCCCCTTAGCTTCTCCTCCTCGTAGGAAGGGCAGGGGCCCGCTCTAGAAATCCCAGCGTAGGAGGTGAGCCAGGGCTGGAGCCTCAGGGAGGCCTCGGCGCTTCTAAAATTAATCTTGGCGCTGGTGCACCCTAGGAGAAGCCAGAGGAGGATGCTGAGGCGTCCAGACAGCCCCCCACCCTCTCAAGGGTCCTCCTCAGGGTTCCCCCAAATGCATGGGCACACTGAGGCCCAGACTACCGTGGGCAAGGAGGGGACCCCATACCTTCCATCCTGCCAAGGTCTCGGGCCCAGGAGCTGGTTCAGGGTGCTGCAAGGCAAGGAACAGCAGGCGAGGGTCCTTCTGCCACCGGCCTCCGCCAAGCCACACCCACCGTGGCAGAGTCTGCCCCGGGAGTGCCAGGCCCTGACACCCGTGTGAGGGCAGAGGGCTGCTGGTGGCCCAGGGAAAGTCACTCTCCTCACTGGTGTCTTGGGCTCAGTCACTCCCTTCCCCGCTTTCCATCCTCAGACCACAAAGGGGGCCCACGGGTGAGGACAGCAGTTGCTGAGTCGCTGGCTCGGCTTGGGACACCCAGCCAAGAGGCCGCAGGGCCAGCGTCAGCCCGGCTGCCTTGACAACCGCCCCCAGGGCCCACGGGAGGAGGCGGGAGGTGGTGGAGCTGGGCAGATGCGCGTCCTCGTCTGGGACAGGACTAAGGACCCAGACACCAGCGGTGGAGGAATTGCCGTTGCTGCTCAGACAGACACAACCTTTTCCAGTCTTTTTCTTTACTGCTGGGGATTGAACTCAACACCTTTGCACTGAGCTACCTCCCCAGCCCGTTTAAGTTTCGTTTATTTATTTATTAGAGACAGTCTCACTGTGTAGTTCAGGCTGGCCTGGAACTCACCGGGTAGCCCAGGCTGGTCTCGAACTTACCAGCCCCCTTGCCCAGGGGGCCCCAGTGACTTTGGCAGCCATCCCGCCCCCACCCCAGCCTCTCACTCTTGGTTTCAGGGGCCCTTCCACCCCTGACTTCTCAGACCTTGCATAGACTTCCACATCCCTGCTGCCTGTCCCCTCTCGGAGCAGAGGCCTCTTTCGTGGGACGCCCCACACCTATGTCCCACACGTACCCCCAAATCTCTCTCCACAACCTCCCAGTGGGCCTGCTGGAGCTCCCACATCCGCCACGGTGATGGCCCCTCAGGCCTTCGCAGGTGTGGTGCCCAGACACTTAGCTGTCCTCCCCAGAGGCCGCTGCGTAGGCCTCAGATCAGCCTCACTCCCTACACGAAGCCTTCCTGAAGTCCACCCGCACTCCCATGCTGGCAAGCGCCGTTCTGAACACTGCAGGCCCGTGTTTCCCACCGGACCGGGCCGGCCCAGGGCTGGAGGCCTCCTTCCATCTGCGGAGGGCACTGAGGCCTGGGGAGAGCAGGTAGTTCTAGGGCCCAGCGGGAGTCAGATTCAGGTCCGCTGACCCTGGCCCACAGGTGGGACCTTCGGTAGCTTTGCTAATGTCCGTGCTGTTCAGGGGCCTGAGTTACGGCCTCAGCCCTGCCAAGCGTGCTCAAGGAGGGGTGTGAGCTGCCAGGCAAGGAGGACCATCCCGGGCCAGGGACAGCCACAGCAAAGCCCCAAGAGGCCTCTCCCTGCCCTGCCCCTTCTTGGTAACCTAAGTCCCTGGGTCCTTCGGGCACCTGCCATTTCCTTGGTCCAAAAATAACTCAGGTCCTGAGGAGGCCTAGCAGGGGCCAGGGGTCCAGGATGGAGTTGGGTTACGGGATGAGCACCCTGGCCTTATAAGGCCCCCACGCCTGGGGCTGAGTCTCCCAGGATGACAGGGTGGGCTGCTAGGTGGCCCCGGGCAGCTGAGGCCCAGAGTACAGTGACTTAACTCCAATTGCAAGGCAGAGCCAAGGCAAGGCCTGAGTCTCCCAGCTTCTGATGCAAGAGCAACCTTCCCAGTGATTGGTGACTGGCTAGGGTTCAAATCCCAGCTCGTTCACTCCATTGTGTGACCTTGGGCAGCCTGGCCGAGTGCTGTTGAAGAATCCTGGGTGGGTAGCTGAGCACGGCTACAGCAGGGTCCCGCTAGCAGCCTCGGATTCCCACAGAGCCCTCCCTGGCAGGAGGCTGGGGCAGGGATTGAGCTCCGCATCCCCGGGCTGAGCAAGGAGTGGGGCTGTTTCCACCACCGAAGCACACAGGCTACCCCTGCCCAAGTCCTCAGGCAGGGAGCCAGGCCACCCCGGGCCCCAGCAAAGACGAGCCAAGGGCAGGGACATGGAGCCCCAAGAGTGCAGATTAGGACAAAGGGGTCTGGGCAGCTGGGAGGGGCTGCACCCTCCCGCCCCCGCGCCCCTCCTCGTCCACCGCCCAGACACCAGCAACGGCACATGCAGTGTGACACAAACCCCAGAGTTCCGATAACACCGACGGGCAAACCCCGCAGCTCATAACCATGGATACAAACACAGACACGCGCCACGCAAGGGTCGCCTGACAA